TGGATCTCTCCTGAGCAGGTTCTGCTGCACACACAGCCATGGATAGAGCCCAGACACAACCTCCAGCTGTGCTTGGAGACTTTTGGGTCTCCTTCTTTTAGCAGCTCCTTTTACACACCTTGCCTTCTGGTCTGAAGTGGGTTTTCACCTTTCCTTTCCTTTTCAGAAGGACAATAGGCACCGCTGAGGGGGGATCTCAGTGTGACAGCAGCACGGGTGCAAAGCTTCTCCCTGCAATTCATCCTCTTGCTCGTTCTTGCCTTGTAGCTCAAAATCCTCATAATTATCTGACATCCTCTGCTATTAAAACCTCTGCTTGTGTAGGAGTTGTTTTTTGTTTGGATTGCAGCAACGGGCTTTCAGTCTTTGCTTCCTGCTGCTTCCTAACAGCCGGTTTTGACAAGCCCTTCAGAGTCACTGCTGCTTTGTTAATTTTCTGGCTTTTCACCCCCTCCTCCTATTATTACTTTACACCGATGTTTATTTGACCACACACTGATTCAACACTTACAGTTACCAATTAGGATCAAAATATTGCTTTGACATTTACCTGAAACTCAAGGCCTCTGTTGCTAAGGCATCCAACTTCACGGAGTTTCTGCAACGCGAGGCAGAGCATTGCTCACACTTTTATTTGTTAGGGATAAGTCCTGTGATTAATGGTATCCATAACTGACGTACATCTTCCTTGATGAACAATTTGCTTACATTCATGGGCAAAACGAAGCATCTCTGCACTGAGAGGGTTTCTGGTTATTGCACCTTTTATGAATTCTTTCCTTGCCATCATCAGCATCACACGTTGGGGACACATCCCAATTTTAGAAGTTGTTATATTAGGGCAAATTGAGCAAATGGCAAAGTTCGACTTGACAATCATTGGCAACAATTCCAAGCTTCCACTTAGCTTTTCTTTCTTTATTTTTTTAAATTTTTTTCTTTTTTTCTCTTTTTCCTTCCCCTTTTCCTCTTTTTCCTTTTTTCTTTTTTTTTTTTTTGTTTAAACTGTTTGACACAAGCTATGTAAATTACATAGTAGGCCTCGATGTCTCAGTCATTTCCTCAGCTTTCCTCACCTTCTTTTAGTCTTTCCTTACCCTCCCTTTTGCTCTGATGCTTATTCTCTTCGTTTTCTGTGCTTCTGTGGTCTGTGTGCTTTTATATTGCAATTCTGATTCACAGAACCTTAATTTGTTTACCTGTTTAAATGCAGTTACTGCTGAGAGTGAACAGGGTAGAATTTGACTCAAATAGAATGCCAAAGAAATACACTGATGAAGCAGCTCAAGTCTCTTTTCTGTTTTCTCAGGTTGTTTGCACATTTGGCCAGACATTTTTTTACGGATGCTTACAACTCAAACCTGAGAGGATTAGAAAATTTTGTATTTCAAAAATGAAATTCTCCCAACTCAAGGCTGATTGAAATCAATGGTAAAGCTCTCAGTAATCCTGTTAGAAACAGAATTAATTCAGTGTTTTTAAATGTCTCATCCTTGGTATCTACTCAGTCCTAATACCACAAACCATTATTTATGGAAGTTGTTCTTACTGTGAGAAAGAGATTTATTGTACCACCTCTGTGAAAAATGCAGAGCAGCAGCTTGGTCTTAGTCTTGCAGACTCACAGTGAGACACACAGCCCTGTAAGCTGTGAAAAGTTTCTTTGGTGGGGTGTTTTGTGTATTTATAAGTCTGTATTCTGTTAATCCCTGGAGTACCTGTTGGAAGAAGAGCCCTGTGTGGTCTGTCAGGCTCAGGGCTGGACACTTAACTTCAATCTGACCCTAAGCTCAGCTCACAACTCTGCACTTTGTCCTTAACCACAGAGAGGTGTCATACCCAGATCCCTCACTGGATATTTTTGTACCTCCATTAGATCCCCACCCCGCCACTTCAACGCTAACTATATCAAGCTGGTCATCGTAAGACATACCTGCCATTCCTCAGGGTTAGTCTTTTAATCTCCCCTTGGATCTTACCCAAAATGAGAATGTCCTTTACACTTGGTGCCTCTGCTGCAGTGCACGCCCTTCCCCAAAACCAGCTTGATGAAAGGAGGGCATTAAAAAGTGATTTTACAATTTGTTTTGCTTGATGGACAAATTCACCCCCCTCCAGTCTGGAACATTTACTTAGATTTCCTTTCAGCTGTTACGTACAGAGTAAAGACACACAGACAGGGAAAGGACTTTACTGCATGCTTTAATTCTTCATTTAATTTGCCTGAATATTGGCTATGCTGTAGAAGAGTTCACCTCTGGAGGACACACCAAGACCAGCCATTTATCTGGATTAATGCTCTCTATTTCAATTTGCAAGCAAATATCAAAGTCCCAAATAGTGAATTTAAATCCAATTAAAAGGCACAATTCCAGCTTGGTTTTCCTACACTTCTACCCTCTCTCCCAATGTATCATTCAGTGATGCCTTAAACAACTAAAATATATTTTTAAGGCCATATACTTAAATGTCTTTTACAAAGATATATATTTGAAGAAACCATGGTTCTATACCAGTTAGTGTGGTAAAAAATGTGTAAGACTGTGGTATATGGGACAGAACCACAAGCATTTATTTCAACGAGCCTCAAAGTGAAGGTGTCCAAGTAATTTTCTTATGTTTTCTTCACACACCAATATTCCACTCATAAATTGTACCTTGGGCAGGTCAGCTGAATAAAAATGAAAGTTATAGGGCTGCCTGACAATCCAGAACACTGCAATACCCAATGGCTATTACAGCATAATGTATTCACACTTGGACATTAATCATGGAATCACAGGGTGGTTTGGGCAGGAAGGAAACTTTAGCCTCATCCAGTGCCACCTCCTGCCATGGGCAGGGAGAGGTTCCACTATTCCAGGTGGCTCCAAGGCCCATCCAGCCTGGCCTTAGACACTTCCAGGGATCCAGGGGCAGCCACAGCCGGGGATCTGGCAGGGAACCCCCAGATGCCCAAAGCCTGGGACCCTCAGCCAGCGAGTCCCAAACCCTGCGGGGCTGGTGAGAGACCAGCCGGGCTCAGAGCAGCCTTTGGGGCGGTGTTAACCCACCCAAGACAGCGCCAGGGGCAAACACCGACTCGCGTGTCCTCACCTGCATCCATCGGGATTCAGTTCAGAGCCGCAATCGTCTCTGACAAAGCAGCATCGAGCTGGGCTTCAAGGACCGGGGATTAAACTGGGCTGAAGAGAAAGAGACTGCAAGGGTTTCACAGAGTCACAGAATGCTGTGGGTGGGAAGGACCTTAAGATCATCCAGTCCCACCCCCTGCCATGGGCAGGGACAGCTCCCACTGTCCCAGGCTGCTCCAAGCCCCATCCAGCCTGGCCTGGGACACTGCCAGGGATCCAGGGGCAGCCACAGCTGCTCTGGGCACCCTGGGCCAGGGCCTGCCCACCCTCCCAGCCAGCAATTCCTAATTCCCAATGTGCCAAAATCTGTGCCTGCCCTCTGGCAGTGGGAGCCATTGCCTGGCTGCTGTCCCTGCCTGCCTTGTCCCCAGGGGCTGTGCAGCTCTCCTGGAGCCCCTGCAGGCCCTGGCAGGGGCTCTGAGGTGTGCCTGGAGCTTCTCTGGTGCAGCTGAGCAGCCCCAGCTGTGCCAGGCTGGCTCCAGAGCAGAGGGGCTCCAGCCCTGGCAGCAGCTCCGTGGCCTCCTCTGCACTGGCTGCAGCAGCTCCAGCTCCTTGTGCTGCTGGAGCCGGGGCTGGGGCAGCTCTGCAGGTGGGCTCTCACCTGAGCCCAGGGGCACAGGGGCAGGATCCCCCTGCCCTGCTGCCCACGCTGGGGATCAGCCCAGGGCAGGGGGCTCAGGCTGGGGCAGGCCCAGCTCTCACCCACAGCACCCCCAGCTCCTTCTCCCAGGGCTGCTCCCTCTGCTCAGCCCAGCCTGGGTTGGTCCCAGGGGCTGCCCTGACCCAGATGCAGCTCCAGCACCTGGCCTTGTTAAACCTCACAAGATTCCCCTGGGCATATTTTAACACCCCATGTTGTTCCTTCTTAATTCCCTATGCTGATGATTGCTCCAATTAGACAGGAGGATGGATGTGGCCAAAGAGATTCACCAGCCCTTGTCATAAGCCTGGTGACCAGCAAAGCTATCAGGGTCCTACATGCCCTTTGTTTTGGACAAAGCCTTCTGGCAGATTGCTTCCTGGCTGTCCCCACACAGCCCGACTGGGAAGTTAACTTTCAGTATTGGCAGCACCAAATGTTCACAACTCAGCTTGCCAGGCTTCTGAGATAATGAAATAGGGTTAAAAAGGAGAAGTTTAAAAATAACAAGCTGCAAGATCCTTCTTTGTTGGCTTCTGAGATAAGAGAAGAGTTTTGGCTTGTGTTGTCCAATATTTCCCCAGCATTTTAAAATTTCTACCCTGCTATTGGTGTGGTTTCCAGAAGACTGCAAGCCTCATGGGGGTTGGAACAAATCTGTGAAAGTTTGGAAAACAGGGGCTTGTGGTGATTGTGTTTATGCATTGGCTTTAAAAAAATGCCATCTTACCAAACAGGCAAAATAAGCACTGTGTTATGACACCATATGACACATCCTTTGCTAGCAGATCCAGCAAATCAGAGGAAGGACCCAGTGCCCAACACATTTAGCAACTACTGTAGATGTGAAACTGAAGTTTGGAGCTTTTACTTCTTTGGCCCTGTGGTTTCCCATGTCTCCAACTTTTTGCCCTTTGGAGAAAGAAATTTCCTCCTCCTCCTCATAGATGTGTGTTGTTTATGAGCACAGATAACTACTGGCCTTCAAATTTGTGTGGGGAACCTGGTATTGTTTTCATCCAAGGACTTGCAGAGTCTGTGGGAAGTAAAAATTATTTGTTTACCCTAGTAAGGTGATATCTTGTTGTTCTTGGTATCTTTTAATTGCTTTTGATGAATGTGTCATAGTCACATGTGCATGTGAAGAAATAGGACATGAGAACTCATGCTGATAGACTTGACCTAATGAATGATATCAAATATCAACTGCCTCGTTTTCTTGCTAGAGGGCTGCAGTTTAGCTGGCAGAATGGAGAGGAATTGGCAAATTGGACCGGCACCTTTAATTTCACGGATGACGGAGCAGTGAAGAGTGGCAGTGACACAGGCACCAGGTACCAACACCCGAGGGAATGGCTGTAGAGATCTCTCTCTCCTTGTGTGAACCACAAATGTGAGCACAGGCTGTATGAAAAATGAGACCTGCAGTGTGCTTTGGCTGCTTGGCACTGCTCCCCACAGTACAGAAGACGGTCAGGGATGCCCAAGCACTGTGCTGCTTTCCCCCTTGCAGGCCTTGGGGACATTTTGGGATATGCCATAAGCATCCATTAAGTCTGCAGGAGGGTGGTTTCTATGTTCTGTCCTCTCCTGTTTCCCGACCAATGCTGTGTGTCAAGGTGTGGCAGTGTGGAAGAATGGGATTTCAGCAGAAAATGTCCCAACATGACAGTGTTGGTGCATACAGAGCACACTGGAGAATGTGGTCTTTAGAATAAAACATGTATTCCATGAAAACATAGTTTAACTTAAATTCTTTTCAGGGCCTAGCTGGGGAAAAGTGTTCTGTCAAGATAAGGCTGGAGTATTTCCTTTATTTACAGTATTTGGCAACATGAGAAGCACTGATGTGCTGCTGCACTCTTTCTACTTCCTGGTTTGACATGGGCTCAGGTGTCTGCAGGGCCATGAGCAGAGTCAGAAGACTGGCAGCAGTTGTGCCTAGAGAACTCCACAGCTATCCCAGGCCATCTGCACAAATCCAGACACAGGCATAGGGTGGGTATTTGGGCTCTCTTCCTGGAACACCAATTACAGGAGTAGTTAAAAATCCTGAGTCATGCGTAGCATCAAGTTCAATAAGCAGCAGGGAAATCTTAGAAAGAGCTGTAAAATAAAGGAAAAAACTAAAAACAATTAAAAGAACCTTACACTTAGTACTTGTGTATAAACAAAACACTGGGTAAATTGCCCATTTTATTTTAAATATCATCGTTTTGTAACCGTACACCACTGCAGCTGTGGAGCTGATAGCACTTCAAAGGCAAGCAGAAGTTGCAGAGTCTAACCTGCCAGAAATCATCGTGTCACTGAGCCACAGCAATGCTGCAGTTCCTGTTCAGGCTCTTGCTGTAATGTGATCCTGTGAATGCTGCCTGCTGCTCGTCTTTGTAAAGGTTCTTTATGAGAACAACCATCCTCCACTGCAGTTTTTCTCTTAGAGCAGGGAGGAAAAGGATTCATGTGTATATGTGTTGGTGTGTGTATCTATCTTCCTCTCTTGTTGCCTTTTCAGTATCTGCATATATAATCTGTATTTACGAAGTCTTCAGTTTAGGCACTTGGCGTATAAAAGAACTCAGTGAGACACAAAGACACACATCATCTTGAAGGCATGAGAAAATAAACAAATATAGATTTCCTCCTCTAGACACCTTTGACAGAGGCAATTGAACCATCATTGATTGCATGACGGGGAACCAAAAGCCTTGAATATAAAAGACAGAGTCGTGAGGGGCTGAGCCACAGTGCTGCTCTCAGTCTCTTCAGCCTCTTCAAAGACAAACAGGTTCAAGGTGCAAGTGGTTTTTACACAAACAAACCACACAAGCTAGATATAAACAGGACAAAGTCATAATATCAATGAAGAAAAAAAGTGTATTTCAAAGCCTGTGTTATGTGATATGTCAGTGACTGTATCTCTGCTGCCCAGGCTCCCCAGGCATGGGCACAGCCCCGAGGCTGCCAGAGCTCCAGGAGCCTTTGGACAGCGCTGCCAGGGATGCCCAGGGTGGGATTGCTGGGGGTCTGTGCAGGGCAGGAGCTGCACTGGTGATCCTGGTGGGTCTCTTCCATCTCAAGACATTCTGGGGTTCTGTGTTACTGGCAGTGGAGCTGAAAGCTTTTCAGTCAGGGATAAGTCTACCTGCAACATATTTCGCACCTAAGTGTGCTAGAGATATTATTTATCCTTTTGTATGGAACCTGGGAATATAGGAAAATAAAAAAAAAAGTACTGTGTAAGTATGGAGATGAGACTGTGTGGTGACTACTGCAGAGCTGTGTCAAAATTGTTTACTATTTACATTTGATCACCTTTCTGACTGTGTTGTCACCAGACATCTCCTGAGAGTCTTAATCTGACACTCAACTTTATGCTGTTGTTGTAAAAGGAAAACAAGTCTTCCTTTAATGAATAATTCTTTCCACTGAATGGAAAACTTGCAGACTACATTTCACAGAACTGATTTTATTTGTATATATTTACAGGGCTCCAGAGAGATGTCTGAAGTGCACAAAACTAATTGTATGTCAGCATAAGCACACAGAATACCTTTTCATTGCATAGCTCTGCAGTTTGCTGTGCCACCACCTTCTTGTAAAAGGTTTTGTGTTTAAAGATATTAATTGAAATAGATGTGAATATGATTTCCATTCACTTCTACCATTTATATATATAGAGACATATGTTTATTCATGCATGTGTGGTATCAATTTGAACATATTCTAGAACTACTCTTTATCTTTTAATTACATAACCTAATACAGGGTGTAGAGATGCTGACAACTCATCCTGTAGGAGTGAAGGTTTAGATGAAAATGAAGGACTTCCAAAGCAAAGGCACGCAGAAGGAATGAGTGCATTAGAATTGCAAGTCAGCCAGATTTAATGAGAATAGTGGCCTTAGAGAAACCAATGAGCAGTGAAGATTAAACACTGCATGAAAATGATTAAGTAAGAAACATATTAATATTATTGTGTTATGTGATTTCAGTAAACATTGAGGCTCTCCTTTGATAGAATCATACAATAATTTGGAAGGGACCTTAAAGCTCATCCAATGCCACCCCCTGCCATGGGCAGGGACAGCTCCCACTGTCCCAGGCTGCTCCCAGCCCCATCCAGCCTGGCCTGGGGCACTGCCAAGGATCCAGGGGCAGCCACAGCTGCTCTGGGCACCCTGGGCCAGGGCCTGCCCACCCTGCCAGCCAGGAATTCCTAATTCCCAATCTGCCAAAATCTGTGCCTGCCCTCTGGCAGTGGGAGCCATTGCCTGGGTGCTGTCCCTGCCTGCCTTGTCCCCAGGGGCTGTGCAGCTCTCCTGGAGCCCCTGCAGGCCCTGGCAGGGGCTCTGAGGTGTCCCTGGAGCTTCTCTGGTGCAGCTGAGCAGCCCCAGCTGTGCCAGGCTGGCTCCAGAGCAGAGGGGCTCCAGCCCTCTGATGGCTGAGGTCTGAAACCAAACACGTTTCTCACATTGAGCCCTGCTATGACAGCTCTGCTGAGCTGGGGTAACTCAGCTAACCCAGGTTTTCATCACAGTGCTCAAAGACAGCTCTTCAGACTGTGTAGAAGCAGTCCATGGAAATAAAATCCTGTGTCATGTATGTGGTGCAACCAAGAGTGTGGATCCCTTTGTGTCACCTAACACTGCTCTGGGCAGGCACTTGACAGATCCCAATTTGCTGGGCCTTTTTGGGCACCAGAGCCTTCATTTCATAATGTTGCTGAAGGCCTTCTAGGTGGCAAGGAAACAGTGATTACTAACAAGAAGTAAAAGTGAAGCACAGGAGCTCCACAAAATCCATAGGGATTTCAACCAAAGGAGGACTACCCACACAGATGCAATAACAACCAGTTGTTGAACACTGGCTTATTTTTGATTCTTGTGCATCACCCATTACTCATATTTCTATCTTTTGCATTTTACTTTGCGCTAAGCATCGTTAAACCTTACAGTACCCCTGTGGAGAATCAGATAAAGGGTTTTATCTAGTGCTGGTTATGACAAGTGATATACACAACCCCTTCCCAGAGCCCTGATTCTTCTGCTCTCCTTTTAATATGTTTTCCAACTTACTGGAATTGTGAGTCTTCACGCTTAAGTAATTTTTCACTGACAAGAAGCTGCCTTAATGACAGGATGACTTATCTGCCATATGAGTTGGTTTATGGTGTTTCCTTCAGTCTACTGGAGCTGCAGATAAAATTCCATGTAGAGTTTTGTGATAAAACCACAGAAGCCTTTGGTGGGTGAGAGGAGATCATACTTGAAGGCCTGTCAATCTGCACACTGAATTCTCTAGCATGACAAATCTGAAGCTTTGTCTTGTCCCCACTGGCTACGAAGTAAAGAGTAGAATCAATTTGATTTGTCAAATACATGTTTCACAGGAGTGAATATAAGGACTTAGGATTTTGCTTAAGTCACATTGCTGAGTTCCTCATACAAGGATCCTAAAATCTAAAAACCACAAGAAAAAAAAAAAGACAGATGCTTGCAATAAGCTAAAATGTGGGGTTTAAGATGTCATTGATGCACAAGTGTTGTCATGAATGTTGCTGTATCTTTTAGGTGGGTGGTCATATGGATAACAACATCAGCAGATTATTTCAGTCAGAGTGAATGGGAAAGGGCTTGATTAAAACACCCAAGAACCAGTTTATTAAAAATCCGAGAATTTTGGAATTAAATTGGGAAAACAGGGCTTCCTGCAGCATACTCAGGAGACAGCATTGGTTTGATACAGCAAGAGACAAGAAGCACCAACATGTCCCTGAAGCTCAAATCCAGTGCAATCTCCAATAAATCATTCACACACACAGCACAGTGGGAACACCTCTAAATGGGGATGGGTGTCATTCTGGCTCAGAGAGGACCTGGGAAGCACAGGGGGTGGTGGTGCTGATGGGCTGCAAGGTGGGCTCATCTCCAGGGAGAAGCAGGAGGCAGCCTGGACTTTGCTGTGCCATTTAGGGCTGTTTCTGCTGGAGCTCCTGCTGCTACACCCACGCCTGCTGCAGTGGAGCTGTGTTCTGCAACTTACTCGGGTGCTGTGCTAGGCTGAATCCATGGAGAGAAAGGCTTGTGTCCCAAATCAGTGGGCAGATGGGAAGGGAACAACGTGCCTTTGGCAGGACTGGATGTTTGGTCAATTCTCATTGCTAATGAGGCAATGAGCAGCAGAGCCAAGCAATTCCAAGTGATCTGTGTGTGGAGACTTGGAGATGAGATGGGAGATCATAATAAAGATGGCAGTGAGCAGCCAGTGACAGTCTGCCAGGAGCTTCCATGGTTGTGATGAAAAATATATCCTCAGGGCATCACAGCCATCA